TGCAAGTGCAGCCAGTGGAAGCAATCATGACTTACATAAAAGTTTTCGGAGTGTGGCAGCTTGTAGTTTGAGTGGAACCTGCAATATTATTGATCCACATAAAGACAGGCCCATTCTCGCCCAGCTCTGTGACTAGCATAAGGTGCACTTTGTTTTGAGTGAACACAGAATTGGCTTATTGGGCTGGGGAGATAAAGATTTAGGAGACTGAACCACCTCCTTCCAACTTTGAGCAATTTCAAAGGTCAGGGCTTAAGGTTTTGGAGCAACTTGTACACCTTCAAGGTCTTGGGTCAGGCTGCTCACACAAACAACAACCTCCCTCTTAGTCCCTATCGCACATGTTGAAAACTCTAAAATCACTATGGCAGAGTGTCCAAATGGCCTTTGCGATGCTGCTGCCCAACTAAGCAGGTAGCCACTGTGTCTTCATTAGAAATACACCAAAGGCTAAGACCAAAATGCTTCACTCATTTAACAGAACAGTGGAACATGGCTATAAATTTCACAGCTCCAGCCCACAGAACAGAGGGTATTTGCTCCAGCCAGCCAGCCAAGGTCAGTGTTGTGGCTGTTTGCACCCTTACCAGCTGATTAAACAGAGACTTCTGTTGTGACAATCAAGCAGATAGCACTGCTTATCGCAGACAGACTTAGAATTCTATCTAATTAGATTGCATCAGGATAGGGCCCTGGGTAACTCTAGACATAGTCTCTCAGAGTGGCATGACTCAAATAGACCAATCAGGACCCTGACCACACTCCTTCAGACCTTAAACTATTATCAATTACATTTTAAAAATTAGTTCGCTACAGAAAAAAAAAAAAAGATGAAACTGAAAACGGAATCACTAACAAACCAGAAATGTGGGTGGGTGCCTTCCTGAAATTGCAAGCCTGGAGCCCGGCAACCATCCAGACAACTCTGCTTTCCCGGAGTAAACGAATCCAGCCCAGAGCCCGGCTTGATTTAACTGGAGCTCTTGGGTGCCACTGTTTGGGTAGTCCGAAAGGCAAACTCAGAGCCACAAGCTGCAAACCCGTGGAAGTTGCACACTGGGCTAGAGTGCTGACTAGATTCCCAAAGCCTTTTGTAGAAAAAGTTTTTGACATCAGCTACTCATGAACAAAAGAATTAATGAGGCGAGGGATCTAGCTTGGTTGACAGAGTACTCAACTGACACCCAAGAAAACCTGGGTTCAATCCCCAGAGCCTCGTAAAACAAGTATGATGAGGCACTCGGCCTGTGATAGCCAGCATTTAGGAAGTCCGGGCAAGAAGGTCTTAGGTCCGAGGTCATCCTGTCCTACCATCCGAGTTCCAGGCCAGCCTGAGCTAAATGAAACCCTGTCTCAAACAATAAACTTCATCTCATGGCAATTCTTAACTATTCTGGTGTCCCTCCTCCGATGAGAGCCTACGGATGACATCACCAGTTATGATAAAAGGAGAAGAAAACACAAGACAAGAGACAGAACAAAAGTGGTTGTAACAAACGTGAGTTTCAGATCACCAACCCCTGGGATAGCACATTGTGGTCTCTCAGCATCACTGACACAACAGGCCTCCTATGATAGTTCTGAGTGACAAACAGGCTCTCTCCGGGTCTGGCCACCAGGTCCCCTATCCCCAAACCCACGCAGCGCCCGCCCCCTCTTCCACCCACTGATTGACAGGAAGCACAGCTACTCGTAGGAGCGGATTTTTTGCCCGGGTAGAACGACAAGCCGGCGGAAGCCAATGGCATTCCAGTCATGGGGCGGGAGGAGACGGGTCAGGTGCTCTGCGCTGGAGCAGCCTGCAGGTGAGACTTTGGATCCGCTGGCTACCCCTGCTCCGCCACCTCCCTGCCCCAAACGCTCCAGGACAGATCGACCGCAGCACGGGTGAGTCCCCGGGGATGAGTGCTCCCCCACCCCCCACGAGGCCCAAAATGGGACTGTCACCAGCCCGGGGGCGGGGAGGCCTAGTAACCCCAATGGAGAGGAGGCGGTGCCCTCACCCACTCCCTCCAATGCCTTTATACAAACCCACTCCTCTTTCTTGCCCTCCTCTGCCCTTTGATTGGCGCTCCTGATTGCCCAGGCTGTGAGGGAAAGGCTTGAGGAGGAAGCACTGGGAAGGCCAGGGCAATTTGCTTTCAGATCTGGAGGCTTTCAGGACTTCCTGTGGTTTCTGCATAGAAAAGAAAAGAGATTGTCCTTTTTCCTCATCCCCACCCCCACCTGCGACATGTCACCCATGTAATTGTGTTGCTTTTTTTATTGACGAGCGTTCCTGAGCTGTAGACAGCACTTCATGTCTCCTCAGTTCAGTTTGCACCAGGAAAACAGTTTTCTTCTATTTACTGCAGTTAACTGAGTTTCCTATAAAATAGACGAGAATCGGATACTCCGTGCAATTGTATTTGATTGATCAAAAGTTTTCCTCGCATTAGTGAGGTGGGAGAAAAAAATTGGGGGAAAGAAAAGAAAAGGGGAAGGAACCGGAATCAGTCACAAAGTTTAGTCAGTATACTTGCAGTGCCCTGCATACAATTAACTCCCCCACTGCAGCCTTTTTAAATATTGCTTCCAGAACTAAACTAAAATGAGTGGCATTCAAGATACAGTATCAAATTTGTTTGGAATCATTGTCTTAAGAACAATGTCTAAAAACAGTTTCAAGTTCAGGTGAAACTACAGTTAAAAACAAAACAAAACAAAACAAATTTTAGCCTGGAGGTGGTGGTGCAGGCCTTTAATCCCAGCACTTGGTGGTGGCAGAGGCAGGTAGAGACAGGCAGATCTCTGTGAGTTCAAGGCCAGCCTGGTCTACAAAGTGAGTTCCAGGACAGCCAGGACTATACAGAGAAACCCTGTCTTGAAAAACCAAAAACCAAACTAAAACAAAAAACAATTCTTACCTTAAGCTTCTGCATATCATTTGCACACAGCTCCTGGTTCTGCAAGCAAAGCCAGAATGTCACACAGGTTATGTTCCCCTCCATCTAGAATATAGCAAGGCAAGACAGGGCCTCTTCTGAGGTATGAAAATGTCTTCACCGTGTTTGCATTAGGAAGATACCTAAAGCTGAATGTAAGAGATTTCCTTGAGGAATCATGGTGAGAGTTATTAATGTTATTAGAGTTATTAGTTATTAATTAGGTTCATTAAAGGAAAAGCACAAGGTCCTTCCTTAGTGCAAGCCTGACAAGAACTGGCAGTATTTGCATAGGATCATTTATCCATGCTTTATCCTTGCATTGGCTTTTAAGAAACAAGTGCAAATGTAAAAGAAAAACAAATGTGGATTCAAAGAAATTGAATCCTGGGAAATGCTGTCTTATGCACTTCATTAATAAGATTGACTGCTGACTGATTGTAACCTGGGGAAAGTGGAAATCGAATTTGAGAAATATTCTTCCATTTATACTCAGTTTAGAATCTGTGCAGTGCACAGAACCCTAAGATTTGATTATTAACAAAGGAATACAGATTACATTTTATAAATATATTTGTAAGCCACAAATTTTATTCATTCAGGAAACCATGGTTAGCTGGGCATTGGTGGCGCACGCCTTTAATCCCAGCACTTGGGAGGCAACAGCAGGTGGATCTCTGTGAGTTCCATGACAGTCAGAGCTTCATAGACAAACTCTGACTCAGAAAAACAAAACAAACAAACAAAAAAAGAAATCATGGTTGTCTACTTTCCTCTTTATAGAAATATCTTTTAAGACAGAAGACTCAAGCATAGGGATTGGCTATGAAAAAGCAGTGTGTGTGTGTGTGTGTGTGTGTGTGTGTGTGTGTGTGTGTGTGTGTGTGCGTGTGTGTGGTGTATGCGGTGTATGTTTAAGTACCCCTATTGAGTATGTTAATACTATTTCCTGTTGCTAAGTTTCTGTATTTCTTTTATGTATAATAAATTCCTACAGTCACTTGACTATATGTAAGATTCTGGACAGAATTCTGGATTGGGCATGTAAGCTGGCTCACCAGGTCAGGTGCTTGCAGACAAAGATAACAACTTGAATTCATCCCAGAGGGCCCACTAATAGAAGAATAGAACTAATCCTCCAAAGTTGTTCTCTGATTTCCACAGGCACACTGTGGCTTGCATGGATATAAGCACAAATGTATAAATGCTACAAATGCATGTGAGCGTGTGTGTGCGCACGCACACACACACAACAAATAAAAATGTAATAAAAATTTTAAAGCATTCTAGGCTATCATGAAAGTGTCTCTGAAAAGTCACATATGCCAATCATCCTTTTAAATGTCATCGTGGAACCCTTTAAATGATTCATTTGAGGAATATATTTTGATGGTTTATCAGAAAGTAAAAGAGGGTTTTTTTTTGTTTTTATTTTTTAATGTCACTTAAGTTTTTTTTGGTCCTAGTGTCCTAGTTCAAATGGAGTTCTGTGCTACAATTTTTCCAGGCTGTGACTCAAGATCTAAAGGGGATCACTAACACTGTCACTCAGTTGGGAAATGTCCCATCCTGCAGGACATCAACCTGGGGCAAGAGAGTCAGGGATAGGGAATGGGGACAAGAGATGCAGAAAGAACGACCACAAGACAGGATTCTGATCAAGTGGCATACTTTACTTTTCTCAGGCTAGCTTATATAGTCAGGATATGGGGCGGGGCAGAATGGGTTGTTTGTGAGCCAGGTGTTGGTATAGGCAGGATATTAGGAAGCCACAAAGAGGATGTTTGGCAGGGTAAAGAGTTTATGAGTAAGAGGTCCAGAAAGGGTTGCCTAGGTGACTGAGCCTGTGGATGGAGGACTGGGTTAAGTTGTTTCTTTTCTTGAGCTGAGGTTCTAAGGAGCTGCTATGTAAAGGTTAACTATGTGGCCTGCCAAGCATGGCCTAGGATCTCATGCCAAGCCCTGAGATTTGGCCCCCAACAGGGAAAAAAATGTACAAACCCCAGTTGTTACCATTAATTTCTCTATGTTTATTCTACAGATTACCTTATGCTGAGCTGATCAAGGAATGTGAAAATGATCCCAAAGTTTCTCATGGTATCTTGCACACTGGCTGCCCTAACTCATTCAACTACTTTTTCTCTGCAGCCAGAACACCAGAAGGTTCTAGTAGTTTCCTTTGATGGATTCCGCTGGGATTACATATATAAAGTTCCAACACCTTATTTTCATTATATTATGAAATATGGTGTTCATGTGAAGCAAGTCACTAATGTTTTTATCACAAAAACCTACCCTAACCATTACACTTTGGTCACTGGTCTCTTTGCAGAGAATCATGGCATTGTTGCAAATGACATGTTTGATCCCATTCTGAACAAATCTTTCTCCTTGGATCACATGGACATTTATGATTCTGAGTTTTGGGAAGAAGCCACACCAATATGGATCACAAACCAGAGGGCAGGGCATGCTAGTGGCGCAGCCATGTGGCCAGGAACAGATGTAAAGATCCATGAGAGTTTCCCCACCTACTATCTACCTTACAATGAGTCTGTTTCCTTTGAAGACAGAGTTGCCAAAATCATTGAATGGTTTACAGCCAAAGACCCCATCAATCTTGGTCTTCTCTACTGGGAAGAGCCCGATGATACGGGCCATGATGTGGGTCCTGACAGTCCTCTCATGGGACCTGTCATTTCAGACATTGACCACAAGTTAGGGTATCTGATAAAAATGCTGAAAAAGGCCAAGTTATGGAATAACGTAAACCTAATCATCACGAGTGATCATGGGATGACCCAATGTTCCAAGCAAAGGGTGATAGAACTTGACCGCTATCTGGATAGAGACCACTATACCCTGATTGACCACTCACCTGTAGCTGCCATCCTGCCCAAAGAAGGTAAGTCTGACCTCATGCAAATCCAAGCCTAGAACTGTGCATGCTCAGTGTGGAAACTTCTGCCCTTCCGGTATGCTTGCCTGTATTATGAAGGTGTACTAAGACTAAGGCTATAGATTTTAAGCATTTTAGAATCGCAAAATATGATAAAAGCTCTGACTCCCCTTCTCAGGAGAAATCGGTATGGCCTTTAGATACAATTACAGTCATCTCTTGGAAGACTGTGACCATCAACAGATCCTTAATCACGACCCCTTTAATAGGGAAGCAGTAGAGATTATGAAGAAGAAAGTGAGTTTGTCAATCTCAGGCTTATTTTCATTTTTGTCAGCAATTTTAATAGTACCTTGCATTCTTTGTAAATGCTTGCTGGAATCCTTTCCAAACTGTCACCTCAGTGTCAGCTACATTTTAAAGATTGGTAAATGTTTAGCATCCAGGGGTCACAAAATATGTAGCTGAACATGCAAGGCCTGCCTTGCTGAATGAAACTGTAGCACCTTGGTGGGTTGGACTTAAGTATCAAGGGAGAGAATAGATTTTGAGTAGCTGTGCTACCTCACCAGTGAGAATTATGTCCTCTCAGGGGAGTTAAGTAGAATCTATTAACTAGCCACGTGGAAGTATGCAGGTGTGCCTGTACACATGGTTTGCAACTCCTAGCAACTCCTAATCAACCCATTAGATTCCCTAAGGCAACTGGAGTGGTATTATGATATTCTCCAGAACTTAGTGGTGGCTAGGTGTGGTACATATAAAGTTCTGGGGAGCTCTCCAACCACCCCCCCCAATATACTGAGTGCCTTTCCATTTCTCAAGCTGCTTTACACCTCTGCTCATCCTTTCCCTACTACCCCTGACCTCCACATGCCATGCTCTTTTCCAGATATCCTGTCCCTACACCCGTAGTGACTGACTGCTATGTGTGTTAGTCTAGCTGTGTTTCATTTGGGTTTCACAAAATCTTGGTATTTAGGTAGCGTCTATAGTACAGATGGGTGTGTGTGCATTTGTCTGCCTATTTAAGTCTTTAGAGAGTAGGGATTATTGCTTCTCTCAAAGGCCCTTTATTCTGTAAGAGAATGTGCTAGTGAAGAAGAGTAGCCTTTTCAGCCTCCCCCGCAAGACTCTTCCTTCTTAAGGGTGTGGAGTTCCACCATGCATGGCTCCGTTTCCTTGTGTTCCTCCTCTTGGCTCTTGTCATCATCTGGGAGTCTCTTTCCCACCATGGGTGGCTGTAGGAATGTGAGCCTTGTTCTGAGAACCTCTCTACTCCTTTCTCCGCAGGTAAATTTGATGAAGTCTACGATGTGCTTGCCCGTGCCCATCCTAACCTAACGGTCTACAAAAAGGAGGAAATTCCAGAACGATGGCATTACAAGCACAACGATCGAGTTCAACCAATCCTAGCAGTGGCTGATGAAGGGTGGTATATTTTGCAGAATAAGTCAGATGATTTCCTGTGTGAGTATGTTATCGTATTTCTTCCCATTCTGCACCGTTTCTTGCTAACTTGGAGGCTGTGGATAATACAGCAGTTTACTTACTGATTTTTATTTTAATTCTCTGTTACTTAAATGTGAAAAGATCTGTGTTGTATGAATACCCATTTAGAAATGTTTCTCAAGATATATACATGAGAAACATACAAGGTTAAGGATATAGCTTGGTGGCACACATACTTGCCTAGCACGTATAGGGCCCTGGGCTTGATCCCCAGCACTGGGGAAAACCTAATAAAACATTGTTTTAGTAGAATTGAGTTCCTGCCCTGTGTAGTGACTGAAAGCAAAGTAGTTGCTTGGCCATGTGCTTGTAGTATATTTGTGACTCCTAATAGCATACAGCTACATGAATTCTGGTTTCTGACCATTTGTACCCACAAATAATCTGTAAATTACTATTTGATCACATCAAGAGAGCAGGGAAGACTGTCATGGGAATGATTTCTGTCTTCATTTGTTTTGTTTGATAACTGTATAGGTAGATGGACTACTCAGAGAAGGTCTGCTGATCTTTGAGGACATTTCTTTTGTTTAAGTTATGTACATTTAGGGAGGCATTGTAGGACTTTTGGTTCTGTGAGCTGCATTTGCTCAACAGGTTGTTCACATTCAGTTTTTTTTTTTTTATAGAAAAACCTCAGTGATTCTGTTTCTATTACATTATGCGCATGTGTTTACTGGATAGGCTGCTACTATGGTCCTTTCCTGCCAGAATTCTACAAGTTACTGAGGCCAAAGTCAGGAGTTCTCAAAGTGCATTCCTTGCATGACAGTATATAGATCAGCTGGAAGTGGCCATAAAGGTGCATCCTTGGGCCCTGTCTAGATGTGCTGAATTGGACACTGTGAGGACATGACCTAGCCCTGTCTTTCTGGGGCCCCAAGGAGTCTCATTGACAATGAAGTCTGAGAACCATCTCCCTGGGGTACTCATTATTAAGAACTGTCCATTGAAACAAACATCTATGGTAACAACTACCATTATCAAACAGGGACCCTGTCATTCATGATTTCCTCTTAAATCTGGTTCTCTGGTACATGTTACATGAGAGAGTTATTGCTTTCTCATATGACTGAGATTCTAGATCTTAACTTCTCACAGAAACCATCACAATCACCCTTAAATCAGTTCTGGATTATAATATATTATGGCATATTTCTCAATGTTATCAATTAAACAGACAAGCAAAGCACCCTGTCTGATATTTGCTATTGGCTCATAAGTCCAGAATTATTTTCCCTTGAATAAACTGAAAAGAATTACATCATTTAGAATGACTTCTGCAGGTGGATTTGATTGACAGGAAGACTTCAGATTACTTTTGAAATGACAGAACAGTGACTTTCAGAGAAGTTGGCTTCAATTTTCATTTTCTACATTTGGATACTGTTGTGAATTTCCTTGCAGCAAAGATAAGTAATAGAAATGGAGTCATGAGTCATTTTTATCACTCTCAAATAAAAGCTGGTCAGTTTTCATAGGTTACCATCTTAGCAGTAAACATTGCTATGCCTTTGTTCTGATACCAGGCCAACCATACATTCAGTTTTTAACAAGCAGCTTTAACCCTTTGTTTTTTGAATGGAATCACTGGGTATGCACCTCAGAAGACGGACCTCTTTCATTTGTACCCACACTAAGGCACAGAATACTAAGCTGTGTCTTGATCTGAGCCACCCGAGTCCAAACTTTTCACTCTACCTACAGGTTCTGACCTTTGTTTTCCATAGTGGGTCAATAGCTGTGACTAAAGGATTGATTACTGTACTGTCTTGAGTTTATGTACTGCTTTTCACTTTCTATTGGAAATTATGGGTTTTGCTTTTATGACTAAGACTCACACCACCTTACTTTAGGGCAATGATTAGACAGTGTACCTACCCAATAAGTATTTGCTAAGTATCAACCTGTCACAGAACAAAACAAAATCAACCATCCACCTGCATTTTCCACCCTGACTTGGACCTTCCTTCTTTGCTGTTTAAGGTAGTATAGACCATAAGAAAGCTTTGTAACCATTTGACATTTGATTGCTTGAGGTGATTTGTGGGGTTGACAGCAGCAGAGATTATAAAAGAAGATTTAATTTTTACAAAGTCAAATTGGATAAAATTTGCACTTAAGGTCAGAACTTGACCATACAACAATTCTTTCCATTTTTAATGCCATCTGGTTGGCTAACTTATTCATGCATTTTCTCTTCACAGTAGGCAACCATGGTTATGATAATGCATTAGCAGAAATGCATCCAATATTTTTAGCCCACGGTCCTGCCTTCAGAAAGAATTTCACAAAAGAAGCCATGAACTCCACAGATCTGTACCCACTGCTCTGCCACCTCCTCAATATCACCGCCCTGCCACACAATGGATCAATCAGGAATGTCCAGGATCTTCTCAGTTCAGCAACTCTAAAAGCCATTCCCTACACACAGAGTACCCCACACCTCCTTGGTAGTGACAAGCCAGTAGAGCATGAGCAAGAGGAGTCATACCCTTATTACATAGGCATCTCTCTGGGCAGCATTATAGCCATTGTCTTCTCTGTAGTCCTCATTAAGCATCTAATTCACAGCCAAGTGCCTACCTTACAATATATGCAGGTTGAAGTTGCTCAACCATTGCTACAAGCTTAGTGCTTCTTTAACATGGAATTGCATACTGAAGTGGAGGTTGCACAATTATATCCATGGTGAGCCTTCAACTTCTAGGAAGCTTCTAGCTACAGACATCTGCAAGGGCCATCAAGCAGTTAATCCATACTTAGCACACTCACACCAACATACCTACGCAAACACATCAGAACACTCCTATCTGCAAATGATCAAAGATGTAAGAGTACCTCCAGTGCTTTCTTTGGCTTAGTAGGTGGATGATGCTCTGTTTGGGGTTGGCCCATATAATGTACATACTTAGCAACTTTGCACTCTGGAAAGTACCTCAGATGTTGCACTTTACTATCCTAGAGGGAACCTTTTCTCTGAGATGCACTTTATCACTATGTCTAGTTACTCAGCTGAAAATGGCAACCTTTGGCATCTATGTAACCAAATACTAGTATTTCATGTACAGACTGGAGGAAGTTTCTAGCAATTCCTGAACAATGTAGAAATCTATCTCCTTAAATAGGAGGAGGAGGAGAAAGAGAAAGTGCTGAAGTCAGTGGGACCAAGTTTGTAGCATGCATATTGGAGAGATGCATTTCCAGCAGCAGGATGCATTGTGGGCATTTCTAGTTATGTTTTCTCACCAAGGACCAAGGTTTCCATTTACTTCTTCCCTCCAATAGATTCAAACACTGAGAGATGCATTCTAAAGATGGTGTTTCTACCCATTAGTCATTGCTCTTTGTTAATGTGTCCTAGCCCTGACTCCATAATGAGGATGCCATGCACATAGACTTCTTTTCTGTCTAGTATAGCAGTGGCCTGAAGAGCAGAGACCAGGCACCATCTTTGCAGTGGTATTTTTTCCTGCCTGTCACTATTTGCATATTTGATACTAACACTATTAATCATATTAAAAATCAAGTGAGATTAAAAAGTAATGTTTGGTTTTGCTTATTTGTTGTTTCTAGTGGCATCAAGTATAAACATCTTTTAATTTTGAGACTTTCAAAACCCAAAGTTGCAAAAGAGAACAAATCGCATTAGGTGACATATAGGCCACCCCACCTTTGGAAAGACTTCTGTGGAGCCTGGAAAACAATCAGGCAGGACCTCAGATGAGATGTGCACACTGTCACCACATTAGCAAAGGGTACCTCTAGAAGAGAAAGAAAACCTTCTGGTGATAATAGGTATATGGGAACACACAGAAACTCAGATGGCTTAATTGTGTTTCAAGAAATACTTGAGTTTCTACCTGCCAGGTGTTTACTGAAGGCAAAAGTGAATCTAATTTCCCAGATGTCTCACCACCCACTAGTGGTTTTCAGCTTTCTCATCATCTCAGCCCCTCGTGTTTCAACAGCTTAAAGCTGAGCCATTTAGGTGGCTAAGCAGTGAAAAAGTTGGCATGACAAGAGAACCTGCAGAAAAGCTTTCTCTGGAAATGATAACAAAATACCAAAATAGACACGAAGCACATAGAACACAGTGTGATGGTCTTTTGCATATTCAACACCTGCTAGCTAATAACCAAAGTGGCATCATTATTTCAGAGCAAAAGGACTGGTCGTGTGTGGGAAGTAAAAGTGACAGAAATCGGATTTTAATGTCTTCCCTAAAATGAGGTGAATTGTTTATAAATGATCCCTAAAATGAGGTGAGTTGTTTATAAACGATTATACAGCTTCTCCTACGGTAAAAAACGTTAGTATAGAATTTTCATTTCACTGAAAACCTCTAAATAGGACAAAAGAGAAAAAATGCAGATAAATAGCCAGTATCCCAAGGATGCTGGGAAGTCAGACATCTGGTAGCAAATGCCTGGTGAGTTTAAACTCTGCCTGTCTACATCCTGAATGTGTGCACACAACACACATGGTGACTGACTGTAGCTTTGAACATTGGAGTGCAATGCAGTAACTTGGAGATTAGTCTGTTTCAGGGTACCACTATTCAGATGTCATATGTGCATTCAGCTGGGTGTACTCAGTTCACTTTAGATGGTGCTGTTACCTCAGAACAAAGTGATAAATGCACCACAGTTTAAGTAGGGAGGTCTGATTACTGGATGGTCTGTCACAGAGACTCAAATCCCTGTCAAATCAGCCATGAGTAGTGGAGACCCGAAAGAGCTTTCAACCCAAATGCCTTCAGGGTCCAGCCCTAGGCAGGGAGCAGGAACTAGTCCTTGGTAACACTAAGACTGCCTAACTTGATGACTGCAAGTGAGAATTTCAAATAGCAGAGTGGAGCTCTTTTTTCTCCTCAGTTTTCTCAGAGCCTCTTGCTCCTTTGGACATTGTCTACAATTAATTGGTAATATATTTTTAATGTTTACTCCATCTGGCACCTGCTATTTACATTTAAATGCTTTTCTAAATCCTGATTCTAAAGTTAGCATCCTATTAGTCTTTCTTCCTACAAGAAATCATTCTGTCTCGATAAAAATCTAGGAGACCTAGCTCTTGTGGCTATCAAATGTTTCCAGCTACTTACTGGCTGAGGGCAACAGCCTCTATTTTAGTTACACAGCAAAGAATGGGCTAAGGGATTTGTTCAAATGATCTAATTTAACTAGGGCCCTCATTCTCTTTCAGAGAAATAGCTTGCATGACCTCACGCCAGGGCTAGAAGCAGGGCCCAGGTTCCTGATTTAGTTTATATGCAAAGTGGAGGTCAGTGGACTAATAGTCTTCTTAAAGGGAAGCCTGTTGGTCCCACCCTAAGCGGGAAATGGCTAAGGAAGATTCTGCATTGGCAAGCTCCATACTACCACACTTGACTTTCAACTATGCAAAATTTTTAGCTTCCTACCTAATTAGCCAGTGCTACAGGACAAAGGTGGTCCCAAGTGCTGACTCTCTTGTCAGTATTTCCATCTCCTCTGGCTCTCACCCTGGTAACTCCTTATTATGAGGAAGACAATTTTATACTAAAAAAAAAAAAGACACTTCTAAATCTTGGTCTTTGCACACGGCTCGGTTGGTAGGGTGTTTGCTGGACAAGCATGAGGAACTGAGTTAAACATGAAAACGCTGGGTGTAACCCAGGCTTATATCCTAGCATTGCAGCAGCAGAGAAAGAGCAATTTCTGGGGTCCACTGACCACCTAAGCTAGCCTAAGGGTGGGCTCCAGGCTATGAGAGACTTTGTCTCAAAGAAAGGATGGGATTCTTGAGGACCAAGGAGTGACAGCTGAGGTTCTCTGGCCTCTATATGTATGTACATAGATAGTACATACACCTGCACATGTGCACGAAAACACACATAAACATGTATACACACATACTATAAAGAAAATCCAGGGATCATCTGGTCAGAAAGGACAGGCTCTACATGTTGGCCTTGTTCCTCCACAGTGAACACAAACAGCCCTGGAAATGGGGTAAAAGACTCTGAGAGGTGGTCAGAGAACTGCAAGCTGGTTAGGGGCCCAAAAGATGGATGGCACAGCTCAGTGGCAGGGCTTCATTTATTCCTCACCCAACAGAAGGTGGCAGCTGGCCCCTAATTCCCAAAGCTCAGTTTAGCAAGATGGCATCCCAAGCAGGTTTCTTCCCGGGATTGAAGAGGACCCTCTGTGTTTGTATCAGGTAAGACAATCTCACGGCCCCAATTGGGTGCCTGTTCAAAGTCAACCCTCAGCACTGATGCCCTTCTACTGAGAGATGTGGCAAGCAGAACCTGTAAGAGAAGCTGGACCGTTATGTTCTCACAGGCTCTTACCCACTCAGAAACATGAGGTGAGCAGAACAGCTGTAAATGGGACCAAATTACAGAACATGTCCTGGCCTGAGAACCTCTTTGTCCTCACTTCCCCAGCCCCCAAATTCCATGGATGTATGTGGAGGGGTGAGGTATAGAATCTCCTGGCTCTCCTCTTTCAAGTGACCCCTGGCAGCTTACCTGGGGAAATCCTCCTGCCCCCTGTAGACCAGACCAGGAGAAAAGAAGTGACTCTTAGCAGCACACAAAGCACACCACAGTCACACCTCAGCCACACCACAATCATACGACAGTCACACCTCAAAAGTCACACCACAGTCACACCTCAAAGTCACACCACACTGGCTCAGAGCTACATGCTAACCCTGGATATTGTGATTTCCTACTAAGATGTACTGAAAGGGAATGTCTAAGCCCTTCAATAAGGTAAGAAAAAGAAAGAAAAGGCATACATGTTTGGAAAAAAGAAATAAAGCAGGCCCTGTTTTCAGGGAACATGGTCATGTCTGTAGAAAAATCACAAAGAAACAAGTACCTAAAAAGGTCTTAAGACCAGTCTAGCAAACTACAACATCAAACATACACATACCAAGACTGCTTGTATTTCTGTATATTAACAGCATGTGCCAAGGCCGGTCTCATTTCTGTACATTACCAACATGAAGAAGAAAATTTAAAATGTAATTCTGCTTACAGTCACCTCAGAAAACAGGTGTTATAAATATAACAAAACCTACTGTATTTGTATCCTGAAAACAATCAAATGCTGATGAAAGAAATTGAAAGAAACTTGAAAAGATTTTTAAAAAAAGATACTCTATATTCATAGGTTGTAAGACTCACCATAATAAAAGTCAAGTCATCCAAAGAGTTACCGTAGTTTTAATCATCTTGATCATCAGGGGGCCTCTTTATACTGACAAGCTTACCCCAACATTTATGTGGAAAGGCACAAGCCCTAGAAGAGTTCAGACTGCTTGAGATGCGTGAGAATGATCCTACCTGATACTGAATCCTGCTGTCTTGGTGTGATAACCTATGTAGTGTGGAAGTGACAGAGAGATGGGCACATGGTTTAAAGAACACTAGAGAACCGTAAGTAACTTCATATATATATATGTTCTTGTGACTTTGACAGAGTTTCCAAAGCTTTGAAAGGAGGAAGAGCAGCCTTTACAAGTACGGTATGGAGCATTCACAGGCAGACAAACTCACAATATTATGTAAGCCACAGTTTTAAACCTGGGCTCGAGCCATGGCCCTTGCCTCCAGGCCTGACAACCTGTGTTGAATCTCTAGCA